ACCCCACTGTTGGCCATTGCATGTGGCTGCAAATGGAGGCCATTTTCCTTGGGAAAAATAAGTCATTTCCCAGGGTCTGGGTATCAGCTCAGAGGTGGCGTTTGGGGCTGTAAGGGCCTGCAGGGTGCTAGTTGCTGGCAGCTTTACTTTTGGAGAAATCTAGAGAAGTTTGCAAATTTTTAGTTTGGCACCCCACTATCATCCAGTGTGAATGGCCGCAAACAGAAGTTGTTTTCCATGGGAAAAAGAAGTCATTTCCTCAGGGTCTGGGTATCAGCTCAGAGTTGAAATTTGAGGCTGTAAGGGAATCCTTGGTCCTAGTTTCTGTCAGCTTTAGTTCTGAAGAAATCCAGTGAAGTTTGCAAATTTGTAGGTTGGCACCCCACTGTCATCCAGCGCAAGTGGCCGCAAATAGAGGTAATTTTCCTTGGGAAAAAGAAGTTATTCCTCCAAACTCAGGGTATCAGCTCAGAGGTGGCATTTGGGGCTGTAAGGGTATGCAGGGTGCTGGTTGCTGGCAGCTTTGGTTTTGGAGAAATCAGGCATGGTTTCTGCCTCCTGTTGTTGGTTGGTGCAACAGCATGAGAATAATGGTCAGTTTGCACAGGAAATAGATCTCATTCCCACAGTGTCCTGTGGTCAGGTCACAGGTAGCATTTGGGGCTTCAAAGTCAGTCAGAGTTGGGGGAAATAGTAAAGGAAAAAAGGTTTTTAGAAACTTGGGAAACGTAGGTTTTAGAAACAGAAAGAGTAGAGAAACTTATAAATAGTTTTAGTTGTTTAATTGGAAGGTAGAAAAAGTTATATTAGTATAGTAAGAAAAGATATGAAACAATAGTTTGAGTTTTAGGCTTGGTCAAGATAGATTTTAAGATTGTAGAAAAATGTATTTAGCAAGATAGTAGAAGGTTTTAAGTTTAATAATGGTATATTGTTAATAGAAAGAAGATTAGTAAATATTGTGTGAAGTAAGTCTATGTGTATTTTTAGTAATTGCTTAAAACAACTTGTCCATAAGCTTTAGTAAAATGTTATTGCTTAACAAGTTTTAAAGATGCTCTGTAACAAAGTAATCTATGGCTGTTGTTGGGTGTATGTGAGCTTTGTTATTTTTTTATTGTCTCAACTGTATAATGAGGTTGATGTTGCAAATAAAGCTTAAGGAATGTACACTAGCAGTCTTTTTTGGATTGTGAGGGGAAAAAAACTATGTCAACACAAATGGTGCCCCTTCATAATTCTTAGTATCAAACCCTGTCACATCATGATACCAAAAAACCTCAAACAAACAATAAAAGATAGCAGGATTTTCCAGCTGAGTTTTGAGTCCATCTATTTCCTGTCTTCCACTTACAGACCTTTCAGTCAAGGTCTGGAGCTGCTGTGGATGGAAGGACCCCTCTTTTTTAAGGGATAAACAGATAATGAAAACCACTCCATGATTTTGAAACATTTTGAGATATGAGAGACTTTGATTTCAAAAAAAATCATAAATAATTTACCAAATACTAATTCCAAGAGTTGATTTTGCAGATTTTTTTTGTTGTATCAAGCAGAGCCTTCAGCAAGTGGTTTATTAAAATGTAGAGCAATTTTCAGCAAGACGAAGTTGACAGCCAGAATAACAGAATCAGGCCCTGGTATAGTTCTGTGCATTGAAGATGCTCTGTGCCTCTTTGCTGTGTACATGTGCAATGAGAAAAAGGCCTGGTTTGGCCTCTCACCTGCTGAGATCCTGCCTACCTGTCTTTGTCATAGGGTGGCACTGCACACTACAAGATAGAGGACACTCCCAAAAATTACTCAGTTGTGTTTGCAGCAGGCCTTTGACATAACTTCTGATCATGTGGTGGATTTTTAGGTTGCCCAGAGTCTTTTGTTTGTTTTCTTATTTTTTAAATATTGCTGTTGTTGCCGTCTGGTTTGATTTTTTTTTTTACAGAAAGCTTTAACTACCTGAAGAGAGTTGCTATACCATCCCACAGTACCAGGAAATAGAAAAGAAAAAAGAGAAGCAGAACAAAATGGTGATGGAGACCAATCTAGCAACAGAAGTGTGATCAGTGCACACTACTGTAGAATCAGTGATTATACAGTAGCAGAGAATTCCAAAAAATAAAGAGGTGCTGTCACCACAACCTGAACTCCTAATGATCCATCTTCACACTCAAGCTGTTTGCCCAGTGGAAAATGCTGAGGAGAGAAGAGTGAAGTACTCTGCATCCAGTTACTTACCTGTCTGCTGTAAACTGCTTGAGAATCTCTCTCTTCAAATAATCCACGTGAAAAAATCTGACTCACCTTTCATTTTGTGGTCTTAAATGTCACCCTAACAATGATCAGAAATCATCACTGCAGTGCGGTCTGAGATCCAAATTCTACTGCTTCCACACAGATGGTATTTGCAAAAGAAGTTGAGGAAAGTACTACATCCTTTCAAGCTGCTGGGGCAGAGACTGCATCTGCTTTGTGTATTTTTCCCCCTTTACCTCAATTCACTCAATGATTTTCCTCTTTTTTTTTTTTTTATTATGTATGTAGTGTCACTATTGATAGAACTAGAAATAAAGAATCTTCATCTTACTTCCCAGGAAGGGTAGAAAACATCTGTTTATTGAATAATAAGAAAGAAAAAGTCCTTGAGAAATTTATCATTTGTTTACACAAATAATAACTCTTACACTGGTCAGTTGCATTTTTTTATAATGGAAACGCTATGGAGAAGTAATGAACAACAAATGAAGCTCACATGAAGTGACGGATTTCAGGGGTGTTTTTTTCTTTCCTATTCAATCCAACATCGAACATTCGCTCTCATTTTACTTGCTAAAAAGGGGGAAAGAAAAAATAATGCATTAAATGAATAAAATGCACATAAAACACCAACAGGAATGGATATGAAAAATAACGTGTTTGGATAAGTCCAAAAGGTCTCACTTCTGACAGGTGATCCCTGTGTTTGAAGGGATGGGTTTTGAATTCTGATTTGGAAGCCCTCCTAAACTAGTTTGATCAAACACCTGCCATGCTCTAAAGAATATGGATGATTAAGAATATGGCTGCTAAAGAATATGGATTATTCTTAGCCTATTGTCACCATCATGATTTCTGAAAAATCAGTTAGCCAAGATTTCTTGTCCTAGGAAGCTGAGAAGCCTCAGAGCAAAAGGAAAACAATTATATCAGATTGCTTCTCCTGTGTTTTGCTGCTTTGAAATGTGGTTTGGAGATTGTGTATCTCATTGTTTGATTGGTTCCATGTGAATTGTTTTGACTTAATGACCAATGATGGGCCAGCTGAGACAGGAGCATGGCGAGAGAGTCACAAGATTCATTATTACCTTTTGGGACTTCTGTCTGCATCCTTTCTCTATTCCGTAGAAATAGAATAGAATAGAATAGAATAGAATAGAATAGAATAGAATAGAATAGAATAGAATAGA